GTGTCCAATCACTACAACTGAGGTGACAAATATGCTCCATCGTAGGCAGTGCACATGCACATCCCACGGAAGCTGATGCACACCATGTGATGTTGCATGTCGCTCCCAACGACGGCCTAAACGGTGCTCTCGCAATCCTCACCACCCTCCCCTATTCTCTTCCTGTGGAATGGTAGCGCTTCGGCCCCTCCGCCATTCTGCGAGGTCACTTTCCTTGCGGGTTTCTGGAATCGGAATCGCGGCCTCCGCCTATGGGAGCCCAGGGTGACCCATCGGTCATGGGTGTTCAACGCAGCTGGATAGTTGCATTCTGCCATGATGGGTCAGCGCAGAAATGCTCCGCCAGCAGTCCTGTGACCCTTGACTCGGTCGGAGTGCACTCACACAGCCTCCCGGCTCGTGCGGGTCCAAACGGAGGGGGTGGCGCAGATTCACCGTACTCCATGCAATCAGACGGGTCCTGAATCGCATTGTGATGACGTGGGCATGTTGCTTTGTGGCATTTCCGTATGCATATCGGGCACGATCGTTGGTGTGACTCCAGATCGTCAATGTGCCACTCCTGAAGTTTCCTTGGTCCATCATTGACGTCCCAAAGTACCTTGACTCGGTTTCTATGACGACTTTTGTGAGTGCGCCTTTCGATAGTCCTTTTTCTGCCTGTCAAACGGGGCGCCTTTACCACGTTTACTAACCCAACGATTGTGTTCTTTAAGTCTTATTACTCCCTCATAAAGTGGCGCCCCGAACAATCGCCATTGCCATCCTAGCGCTTGTGAAGCATTTGGTTGCTGGTCGTTTATAAGGCTGGAAGCCCCATGCACCCCGACTGTCTGATGGCTTGGCCGCCGAGTTCTCCACATCCAAAAGGGGCCGAGAGTGCTCCCGACGCCAGGACTTTGTGAAAGGCGGAATGCTAAGTAAGCTACAGTATGCGCAGGGTCTCTATGTCCGTCTCGCCTCCGTCCGCATGGTCCGTGCCAGCACTCGAAACCTTCTGCGCGTGTGGCATCAGCTCAAAGAAAAATGCAAAAGAACGGAAATTGACAACGTAGTAAACACAAAACAAAAACTGGCCTCACTGCTGCATGCAGCATGGGCCAGGGGCTCGACACTCAGCCGTCAACACACCTGCGAAGAACATACAACATGGACCAATACGCATCCTACACAATTGCACACCTTACGCACTTGTACACAAAGACACGCACAGCCCTGCCTTTCGACAGCCCATCTCCCAACCGTCCTGTCCCGCCACCACAGCTAGCAGGGCCGGAACCGTCAGATTCAAAAACTAAGGACACCATGGGCCCAACGCCGTTTTTTTTGATGTTTGGAATCAAAAAATAAAAAAGATTCCGTTCAGAAAAAAATGCAAAATTATTCCAAACACGGCCCGTTGCCATCCATTCCAGTCAAGACCCCGTCAACAGCATACCACGCACCTACCACCGTATTTCACCGTATCATGCCATATCGCATCGTGTCGCATCGTAGCGTATCGCATCACATCGCTCAGCGCCGTACTTTACCCTGGCTACCAAATGTCGCCGATACAAGACACCCTCGATCGAGGCGGACATCCGGCCATCTCGCTCGATCGCCCTTTTTGACCATCTTCGACACTCTGTTGACTGGATTTGGCCTCGCTGACCGGGTCAACATTGGTTCGACGAGGTGCGAGGCCGGGCGCAGCTGCCAGGCCTCACACCTTTTCCTCTTCGTCCATCTGCTTTATGTCCGGAACGGACCTCATCACCTGACACAAAAGCTTGGCCCTCATCAGTGCAAGCACGTTGGAACAAACTGCTAACACATTTTAACCCGCAGTATATAGAAGCTACTACTATATTGCCACTGCAACTGCCAATACAACTGCGATCTGTAACTGCCAATGTTGTTACTTGGAACGGATAAAGATTGGACTGCTATTGTAACACGTAGCTACTTACAACAAATAACAAATCACCTTTCCCGTCCCAAGCTAATTGTCCCCCATGATGTTGGCGCCTAGCTTCTCCAGCTCGGATACTCTTTTTCAATGACATTTCACAAAACCTTTGTGGCCGTGAGTGTGGCATGCGCGATAAGAAAACAAAGCCAATACGCTCAGGGGCTGGAGCAGGCAAATGCACGGAGAAGTCCAGCACCCTTGTGATATGAGCACACACTTTCTGGCCAACCAAGGGGCCACTCAGGGGACTTATTGCTGACTTTTCTTCTTGCAAACTGGTGGTTGGGTTTCTGGGCATCTACCCGATTCTGGCCTCCTTCTGTAAGGGAAGACACTATGTCGAAATTGTTACGCTTAACGTCAATTTGACGCTAAGGGTGGGGGAGTCCGTACCTGTGACGCTAAGAGATTATGTAATTGCAACAAAAAAATCGACATAAGCTCGGAAGATACCCAAAAAGTGCTGAAAAGCGACAATAAACATATGACTTGTCTCAAAACTTCCCTTTGGCTTTCAGTCTTCACAAAAAGCCCCACATAATCTCGATTGACGGCCTTCAAAACTGCCCCCATCATCTGCTATGCATCTGCTATACATATGCTACATGCATTTTGCATCTCAGTTTTCAGCCCACTAAAATTGCTGCAGTTGTGGCTGTTTTCCTTTCTTCAAACATAATAAATTGGCACCACACCATTATGTAATGATGCCGAGTCATCCTGGCTTCGACGTAAGGATTGACGCTAAGGGCGGGGGGTGGGTGGGTCTTAGCTTAACATCAAATTGACGCCAAGCCAAGCATAACAAAATCGACATAGCATCTTACCCTAGCAGCACCTGAATGATGTGTAAAGAATGGAGGCGCACAAATGCCAGATCCAGACGAAAAGAATGATTGGAGATCCAAGACCAACCATTGATGTGATGGCATTGTGGACATAAGGATGTGTATGGGCGTCCCACGCATTTTTCTAAAGCACAAACCTCTGCACTCAGGACAGGTGGCGTCGCACACATGGTGTCCCGCACCCCTTCATACTGGTACGTAATATTTTGGAACACAAACCCCCTCATCTGCATGTGCGATGCAATCCTTTGGAACAACAAACCCTCCCCTGCGCATGAGATGCAATATTTTGGAGCAGAAGGGATCCCTCACCTCATGCACATTCGACTTGGTCTCGCACTTGCTGTCCCGGTCGATGGCGAAGCAGATGTAGATGGCGTTCATGGCGTTGAGAATGAGCGCGATGAAGAAGATGAGCACCATGAAGATGATGAGGAACGTGATGGCCAGCAGGAGGCCTGCATAGTTCTTGGGGTGGGGGTATTGCGCGAGATCGCTTTTGAAGACGTGGTAGGCAATGGTGGCAATAACGCCGCTGACAGACAGCGAGGTCAGGATGGCGCTGAACGTCAGCACAATCGGTGGCAGGTACCTGGGGACGAATTCAAGATTGAATATAAGCCATCTCATCCATTGTTCAATATTCAGTATACGCAATCTTTAAATGTTGAATGAATGTAAGCCATCTTGTAGAAGTCATATTTGCGGTCTTTGAACATATGCCATTTTGTCCACCATTAATGGCGGATATGATCGAGTCGGTGGCATTTCAGCAACACTTTATCACAATGTTTGCATCGAAAACAAAGGCCAAGCTGACCACCAAAAACGTCAACGGCATGCTGGTGGTCCCTGCACAATTGAGAGCAGGTACCTGGGGGTGACACAGTGTGTGATCCTGTTGGTGGCATTGTGGCGATACAAGAGAATTTTCACTGCGGGTTAACACAATGTCGAGTTGCTCTTAAGGGAAGCAAGTGGGGCGCTGAAGGTTGTGCTGCAACTTGGTGCAAGACTGGGCAACATGGCATGATCGGGAGGTTGGTTTCATGACTGAGATGTTGGATTAAATCTCAGGGCCACATTTAAAATCAGGGTGTTGCATCAGAACACATAACAACACAAACAGTACTTGGCACTTGTTACTTGCCACAGTACTTAGCACTTGGTAATTGTAACCAAGTCTTGCGCATCATTCTTCTTTGGCACATCCTCTTCCATTGAAGGACGTATGGACAGGATGACTGTGGCAGACTGTGAACCATTGGTTGACCAAAGCAATCGTATGATCTCAGAACGTAGGGTAGACGTCAACAGGCAATACAGTGGCAAGGCAATCGATTCTCAAGCTTTGACAATTCGGTACTTTCACTTTTTGTTCGAAATCTCAATTCCAGTTTCATGAGCTTCAACATGATCTCTCTCCCCTCACCAGATGGCAAATGTTGGAAGGAAGTTTCTCGCCAGCATCTCTGTGACTTCCACTCCTGCGCCGATGAACCCCTCTCCTGTGATTGCCATCCGCACCGTTGCGAACTCCGTGATGGGCAGCAGCAAAATGAGCATCCAGTCAATCATGCACACCAGACACCTAGCCATGCAGTGGTCAAACACATGTCAAATGAGAGTGGAACAAAAATGAAAAAAAAAACAAGCAACTCAAAGCGTGAAATCGGAGGTCAAATGTTCTGCATGCCTTTCCCAGGGGACTGCATGCGCAGGCCATGTTGTTCCAGTAGTTTACTCCAACACTTCAGCCCCCCACTTGTCTTCCACATCATAGTCCTGAACTCCCCTACTGTATTTCCCTCCTCCACCCCTCTCTCCTTCTGTACTTTGCCACTGCACTTCTCTTCGCTCCCCTTCCTCCGTTACACTCCGACACTCTGCCACTGCCTTCATCGTGCACTATAGCACCACATTTCAGCCCAGCAATTTTGCCACATTACTGGACCTGCATGACAGATTCCAATACTTCCCCAAAGCACTTTTGCCCCCAGTACTTGGACCCAGAACTTTTGCCCCAATAGTTTTGCTCCAGCACTTGCGTCCAAGCACTTTTGCCCCAGTGCTGTTGCCCCAGTACTGTTGCTCCAGCACTTTTGCCTTTGCCCCAGTACTTTTGCCCCCAGTGCTGACCCCACCTGATGCAGCAGTTCTTGGGGTCCTTCTTCTTCAGCTTCTCCAGGCACCACTTCACCACCGACACCACCGTCAGCAGCAGGCTCGCGAAGCACAGGCTGCCAAAGCTGGGGCCAAATGCGTTGGCCAGCGCCAGCCTCGAGCTGCCCTCCCCCTCCGGCTCCTTAAAATACCACTCCGAAATCACGCTTGAGATCACGTAAACCTTGATCTCGAAAACCAGGAAAACCGACCACAGCATGAGCAGTGCCAGGAACACCCAGTACGTCCTGACCCAATCTTTGGTCTTCCACTCGCAGCATGGGACTGTCTCGTCACCGCTGCTGTCAAGGCACTCTGGCCCACGCTGCTCTCGGGCGCCGCGGTCGGGGTTGGGGATGAAGTGGCCGTCAGTCATGGCGGCCACGCCCAGGAGGGCAAGGAAGGCCAGATACACAAGGAGGCACACCTGCAGGGGAAGGCAGAGGGTGAGATACTGGCTTGAAGTACTGGAGTGATGAGGTGAGGTGAAGTATTCCCTTTTCTCTTTTCTGATTCCAAAATATTGGATCACATCACATTTCAGTGTCCATTTGGCACACTAGACAAGTAATGGGTTGGGCACAGACAGCTGTTGTTCATGGCAGCCACGCCCAGGCAGGCCAGGGAGGCCAGGTACATGAGGAGGCACGCCTGCAGGGAATGCAAAGGGTGAGATACTGGCTTGAAGTACATGGTCGAGGTAAAGGAGAAATGTGGTGGGGTGAGGTAATTTTCATCACATTATATTCTGGTGTCCAGGTGCCCCCTTCATACCAACACCAGATAAGTGCTGGGTTGGGAATAGAGTGGCTGTTGGTCATGGAGGCTTTGCCAAGGCAGGCCAGGAAGGCGAGGTACACCAGGAGGCAGGCCTAGGGGCCCTACAATGGTCAACCACGGACTTGAAGCACTGGAGAAATGCAGTGAAGTGAAGGGATTCTTTCTTTCTTTTCTTTTCTTGATTCCAAAACACTGCATCACATTACAATTCAGCGTCCAGGTGCCACTTCCATTCTAACACTAGACAAGTAATGGGTTGGGCACGAACAGCTGTTGGTAATGGCGGCCAAGCCCAGACAAGGCAGGAAGGCCATGTACACAAGGAGGCACACGTGGGGAGGGACGGAGGGTCAGGTGCTGGCTTGAAGTACTGGGGAAATGTTCAGGAATGAAGTTCTTGCGAATTTGCGGTGAAGTATTGGTGCAATGTGCTGGGGAGGGGTGAAGTACTGGCTTGATGTTCTAGTGTACAGGGTTGAGGTACTGTGGCGATGTGCTGTGGTGAAGTACTGCGTTGGTGTCGCGGCTCACTGCAGTGAAGTACTGGGCTCACGTGTTGCTATGTTGAAGCAAATCAAATGAACCAATTAGATCAATTATGTTAGGTCCATCGAACAAGACAGCTGATAAAGCCAATGGAATTCCACCAACTGAAAAATGCTTCTTCACACCCTTCTGGAGAGTGTGCCATGCAATGCAATATAATAGAAGTTCAGTACGTAAGAGTTCAGTGCTTGAGCAGCACTTGCCCAGTTCCCTGTTCACTTGTCAATTGGAGTAATTCACACGCCAACAACTGATACATTGTTGCTTAATTCAAGCGTTGCTTTACCTAAACATAGCTGTAGTTATCGACTGTGTAAGGTGTATGTGCTATGATGAGTAATCTCACCTTGATGATGATGACAAAGAAGAAGAGCTCCCAGTTGTACTTCACCCCGTCCGCTGCCACGTCGATGAGCTTACCCACCTGGGTCAACAATTCGAATCAAGCTGATCAAACCCAACTCTTATTTCATTGAATTGCAATACCGCAAGGCTAGTGCATCGCAAACAATGGGGAAGACTTTCAACAATGAAGCAGAATATCCAGTGCACCAAGAAACACACAATGCACAACAAATTAGCCATAAAGTACTGCAACAACATAAACGTCACAATTTGCACACTGAGCACCAATTCACCTCCCCACTTGATTGACAACCAGATGCCCGGACACCACCAACGTGCACACCAAACCGAAAACAACGATTCACAAAGCCAGCAACTCAGACACAACAAACTCACTAGCACACGCCACGCACTCATCGATGCCAGTCAGCCCACCAGTCAGCCAGTCCACTAGTCAGCCAGGCAAATACTCAAACCCAGTACCAAACTCAATGCCACTTAAAAACCGGAGAAACAAACTGCAAAAACTCACCAAACAAACACTGTGCAGTGAGCTAATTCGCTACCCCCAGTTAGCCAACCAGTAAACTGATGAACTAATCAAGTAGTCAACTAAGCACTAGTCAACTAGTCTGTCTAAATAGTCAATTAATTGGTGAAAAATTAAGCAAGTAATCCAATCATAATTCGTAAGCTGCTCAAGTAGCAAACCAGTGTACTAGCCAGCAAGTCAACCGAATCGCCTCCCCACCTGGTTGAGCCACCTTGACGCCAGGCACATGCACACCAAGAAGATGAACGCCAGCCCGCACAGCACGCCCCCGCTGATGGGCTCGCTGTACAGCACGATCATCACCACCCCGCCCGCCGCCGGCACCAGCACGCCGATGCTGATCGTCGCGTACACCATCACCACCGCAAAGTTGGAAACCAGGTGCAGGTAGGCAATGCCAACGATGACGGCACCCACAGCAGATCCCACTATCCAGATCCACGTGTCTTGGAGGAAATCGGCCCAATTGAAGATCTCCTCCCCGTAGTTGTAGTCCGAGCGCAGGGTGGTCAGGTCAGTGAAGTTGTTGGCCTCCTTGGTGAAGGGGCACCATGTGGAGTCTTTGACGTAATCGCGCTTCCAGAGTTGGTTGGAGGCGGGACGATCCCTGGGTGCCAGTCATGCGATCGGTCAGCCCATTCTCAATATTGGGCATTATTTCATTATCTTGTTGCAATAGATTGCTGGACTACGCTGTTGCATTACGCTGTTGTATGTAGTTTTATTGTTTATATTGGTGCAATATTTTTTTCCTGTAGTGTTTTTCTGGTTCTGTTCCAAAGCGTTGCGCAACATTTGAGAGTTGAGGTACCAACGCCGGTCAGCCTGTCAACCAATGCAGATTCTGGCTGAATGAACCATCAAGCGATATCCAAGTAACTAATTACAACTATTAGCCAGAGGGGCAATCAACAAACCGACTTGAATCACATTGGGCAAGGCTAATGGCTGCATTTAGTACTGCTGAAAATCGCAATCCTGAATAGGACCATATTTGTACCCAGCATGAGGTCCAGCCTCAACCAAAAGTGTCGGTTTGAAGCAATCCAGTTCAGGCACATCCAAAAGATGCGTAAACAAATATACAAATCATTAACCTGGGCAGCAACATATAGAGAATAGATAAGTGAACGAACCAATGATGATTGCGAATCTTTGGATACTCCGCTGCTCCGCCCATGCCCTTTGAGGGGCACAAGAAGAATCCACTTCGCGCAGTTTAGTAATCTGTTTTACCTTCGTTTCTCGGTTTCTGTGCTTTTCAAAGTTGTTTTCCGGTTTCCGTGTTCTTCCAACTTTCTGGTTTCTTCTTTTTCAACATCATTCTCCAATTCTGTGTTCTTTCAACTTTATTTTCCGGTTGGCACATTTTACAAACTCATCCCTTGGTTTCCGTGTTTTCTAAATTCCACTTCCGGCTCCTCCGTTTCCACATTATTACTCAACGCCGCCCAAATCCCTGCCATTTTTTAGATTTTGCACCCGCCGCTGTCTTTCGCAAAAAACCCCACAACAACACCCCACTCCACCCCAAGCTGCCCGAATCCGGTGCCGGCATTCATCCAATTTGGTGAGCCCGTTCATTTCATTCCACGCCAGCCAACACGGTCACCCCAGCTGCGATCCCCCGGAGCCCTCCCCCTGCCCGCGTGCCGCGTGCCACCCAGCCTTCGTTGACGTCTGCGTTGACTTCGGCCGCCGTCACTGGCCCACGGGTCAGCGGCGCCGCCAACCCAAGAAATCAGGAGAATAAAAAAGGAGCCGGCGGAAGGAACAGAAGCGGCGTGATCGGCGCGCTCGGCGGCGTGGGGCGCGACGGGCTTCGTTGAGCGAGTGAACGATCCTGTCGGCGCGGCGCACCGGCGGGATGGGCGGCATCAGGATCGGCTTCGGGGGCACGGGAGGTCCCCTCGAGAAATTCTCAGTCAGGAAAGGCAGGGGGGAGAATGTGCGGCGAGCGGCGCGTTCATGTCGAGAAGATGATATTCGCCCCAAACAGGGTGGGATGCCCGGGGTCAATGCCGGCCGACGCGTGGGTCAGTTGCGCGAACGGCGGCGATCGATGCTAGCCGCGGATCGGCGTGGCTTGGCGCGGCACCGCCCCTGAATTCTTGTTGAGGCGTCGAATATTTTGGGGCGCTTGCGGTTTGTGTTGTGTGCGCGCGGGGGGGCGCCCGTTTCGGCGCAGCGAAAGAATTTTGGAGGAAAGGAAGAGCGCAAGAAGGAGCGAGAGCGCCAACCGGAGCGGGAAGCCGGGGGGAGGGAGAAATGGGCAACAGTGCGTTGCGCGAAGTTGAGGGGGGTGGCTTTTGCCACGTGGCCTTGCGGCGGCGTGGGGGGTGGGGAGTTTGGATCGGGACCGAATGGCGGGCGTGGAGCCGCCGGCAGCGCGGGGTCAATCGCCGGCCGTCGGGGACGGCCTTCCGAGGAGGGGAGTCCGGCGGGGGAGGATGTCGCAGTCGACGCCGCGGCGCCAGGTTGGAATTTTGAATGCCTCGTGCTGGTGGGGTTTTCCCGGCGGGTACGGCAAATGGCTCGAGAACGCAATGCCGCGCAGTTCCGGGGCGCAGCGTGGCCTCCGCATCGCCCGGAGTCCCCGAGAAGGTCGGGGCGCAAACGCGGCCCCCGCAGATCGACCCCGCCGCCAGTTCCGCCAATCGGCGCGCCACCCGACGGTAGACCGCCCGCCGGCCGCCGCCGAGCCAACGACACGGTCAGCGATCCCCTCTTTGCCCCACCCCCAATCCCCAAACCCACCCAATCCAAACTGCAAAAAGAAGAAAACTAAAAGAGACACAAGGTCGCCACAACCCTCTCAACCCGGCCAAGCCCCTTGCGGCCCGCACCGATCCAACCCACCCCTCCCAATTCGCCAAACGACAACCCCCCTTGCCCAAACCTCCCCAGGTTTCACAAACCCTTCACAAAGCCTCGAGGGAGCCTCAGGGCGACAATGCGGAAGTTTCTGGAATCCCTCCCAAGCGCCCCCCCTGCCGCAAAGGCCCAGATCGCCACCATGCCCGTCACCCCGTTGCTCCCCACCCATGGGTTCAGAAAATTGAAAAAACGCCAGGAAAACCTTTCGCAACTTTCTAGAGTCTCTCGCAACGCGACCCCCACCTATCCACAAAGGCGTAGATCGCTATGACGCCCATCACGATCATGTACGCCGAGTACAGAACGGTGAAGAAGATGTCCCGGTGCGGCCGCTTGCGGTACTCGAAGCCGCCCTGCTCCAGCAGGGGCGCACTGCGGTCGCGCCGCTCCTCGTCCATTGCGCCGTCGAAAGTCCACGGGGGGCGTTGACCAAGTCAGCGCTGCCGCGCAGGGGCGGACGGGATGGGAGGGTTTGGGCGGGTGTGGAGGCATTTATGGGGGGCGAGCGGCAGTGGCCTTGATGGGATTGGGTGTGAGTTTTTGGGCTTCCAGCTCCATTTGCTCTTTTACTTTTGAAAAATGCTATCGGCGAATTTAACACCTTTTCCAGTTCATGCGAATTATTCAGTCTCGTATCCGAAAATTTTAATTATTAAATACGCAGCAAAATGAGGGTATCACGGGTGCCTCCTTGCCTCGAATTATACCATTTCCAGATTGGATGGACGAATTTCGGTTTGCTCACTGTGTTTCAATGTGCCCGGCATTAGCCGACTGAACTGTGTTTCAATGTGCCCGACCTGCAACGTTGCCTGGTTGACAAGTCATTTGCAAGGACCTGTCAACAAGGGCTGAGAATGCATCCAGTCCACAAAACCGGTGGAACCATCACGGCCCCCCTGCGTCTACACTGTCGCCCGTCTTTTGTGGACAGCAGTGTCTACACTACTGTGTACACCAGCAGTGTACAGGACTGGCTGCTGCTGCTGCTGCCGCCGCTGTAGTCGAGCCCAACGCCAGCCGCAGTCGTTCAGGCCCTGGCCGCCAAAGCGCTCAAACTCCAGCTTGCGCCTCCAACGATCTCGCATCCAGCCCAGGCATCCCCCAGCCGCCGCCCGCCGGCCCGCGCGCCATCCATTTCTTTCATCCTCTCTTTCACCCATTTCTCTTCAGTCGACAAACGCCCCCCCTCCCGCTCGTCCGCTGGGACGCTCGGCCCCCCCCCAGGCCCCGTCGCCGCTGTCGCAATCAATCGAATCGCGGCCCTCGCCCCGAGTTTGAAATCGATCGGATTCGAATTCCGAGTCACTGATTCGATGGGGGATGGGATGCGGAATGAGGGTCCGTCGAATGAGGAGCTGCCCGCGCTGTTCTGGGACGAAACCCCCGAGCGGCCGGAGGAGCACCCGGACTACGCGGCGCTGGAGGCGCTGAGGGAGGAGTCCACCCCAGAGGAGAACGCGGAAAACTACAAGGTGAGTCGGAAGTTGCCAAATTCCTTTGATGAATTCGCGATGGAAGACAATTTGGCAAATTCACTTGCCAGAGGAAAAGCGGAAAGGTGCAAATTGTGCCAGAAGGTGCCAAATTCCTTCGATTCAAAAAGCCTTCCAAAGACAGTTTGCCACGCTATTGGGTCAAGAATTGCGAAATGAGTCACGTGCACCAAGGTGATCATCCCGAAGTCCCTTATTTGGTCATGCCAATCCCTCGATTGTGACAGCAACAAGCTGACCGGCTAAACAATCCCCTGACTGCATTGGAACACGAACGAGGTGCTGCCTTTGTGCTGTCGAGGCAGTAGCAGACGGAAACTCACCCACCATGCTCCTTCCCCTGTTGCTCAATGGGCTGTTCAAGGCTCACAGCAACAACAACACTTGATGCAATGACAGATGGCTTGCATTCTGTTTACCGCCCATCATCGCCAGACGGTGCAAGGACTTTTATCTTTGCAGCTCAGGCAAAGTAAACAATCGAGCTCCCCAGTATGCTCACTCCGGAGTTGTTGTAATTCTTTTCTCCCCTGGGAACAGCACCGCTGTGATTCGAAAGCAATTTTTGCCCTAAGGGAGCCAGCACTTCAGTCTGTTACTGTCGATGGAGTGAGAAGTTGCAAGTCAATGGCTCAGTCCAAGGCAGTGCAGTGTGAGAGAATGCATGACGTGCCCAGAATTGGCAACATCCATACTCTCTATATGTTGAAAGAACAAGCACACTGCATCCACTGCTGTCTGAATGACAGTGCCCGATTGTTGTGGCAGCCTGCGTTTATAAGAAAGTTACCGTAGTGCTCCGTGTTGTGATAAATGCGCAAATGGGTGTGTAGTAAATGTGTAAGTAGTAAATGCAGAACGCTCAATTTTCGCTTCGGAGCACACTTCTGGAGAATTCAGCTTGCGCACAAACAGCACCACGAAGTTGGGAGCATGATTGTCTGCATCCATATCCATAGATACTTTACTTAACAATAATCGAAGCTTTTCTGTGTCCAACATAAATGTTGAATACTTAACGTTTTAATTCTTCGTAGTCAATATTCCAGTTGACTGGTAGAACAGTCATATCTAGCAATGGACTCCCAGACATCTCCAATATCTGCAGATGCTGGCACAGCGATGCTGAATGTCTTGCGCTGGCTGTGTGCAGAACCAGGGTAATGAGAGGATCAGGGTTGCCAACAAGTTGAAGAAGAAGTTCTACTTCCAGGAAGCCATAAAGTACTACACGAAGGGCATCGACATCAAGTGCAAGGACGACAACTTGGTATCGACCCTGTATGGCAACCGGGCGCAGGGCGAGCTGCTTCTCGGTGGGGGAGCAGTAGCTGGTCTTCCATTGGCCACCCCATTTGTTGAAAATTGTTACACAATGTGTGCATCTGCGTGGGATGCGCACGACAAATCCAAATCCAAATCCCCTGTGCCCTGCAAGGCGATGTCAAGTGCGGGAAAATTGACAAATAAGCGGGAATTTCCTGCATGCTATGTGCAGCTTGTGCTACAATAGTGCTGCAATATGACGTGTTGTAGCCTTGCGCTCTGCTATCATTTTCACTTGTGCAACAGCCAACTTGCAAGAAGATCAGTAAGCAGCATCACGGGCGTCACTGCCGGCAGCTGTGGCCGCTGCTTTGCCTCGATGACAGTGGAAGTCTGGGACCTCGACCTGGAAACTTTGTCCCTTACCTGCTGCACACCCCTTGGAGGTTCTTGCATGTGGGAATGTTGGTCACATTGACGAGTCCAGGTGCCTCTGCAAACCCACCCACCCGGCTCGAACAGAAGAGATTTGGGAACTGGCACCACCTAACAAGGAGGTGAAATGCAATGTAAAGTCTAAGAAGGTGTCCATGCCTAAATGGGTGTATGATTAAATAAACAGTTGGATGAATTAAGTGAAGGATCGTGGTTCACCAAAAGTGCTCCATCTCAAAGAGGTATAGTTCAGCACTCTGGGGGGAGGGGTGGGGTGGGGGGCATGCAGATCAGAAAGCACAGCCAATCGCAAAGGTGTGTTTGCTAAGCTGATCAGGCTTGAGAGCAACTTTTCGGGCTCACAAAGTACTGGGCCACTGCTCTGCCAAAGCTGTGTTTGCCAAACTGACCAGCGTCGAGAGCACCTGTCAGGCTCACAAAGTACTGGCCCATTACTGCTGCCATGTCTGTGTTGCCTGACACGATGTCTGTGCCAGGCAACTGGAGACGGGCCCTGAATGATGCCCGGCAGGCCATCGAAATCAATCCAAACAACTTGAAGGTGGGGACAATGCAGCCACTCCAACCTCGATCTGCATCCACAACTGGGTGACAGCGCGGCTTCTGGAGCTTCTTCTGAAGATTGCTGCAGTCCGTGGCAACTTCAGTTGAAGATTTGTATAATTCGAATTATATGTGTGGTCAGGCATACTACAGGGCGGCCAAAGCAGCATTAAAGCTGTCTGAGGCCCAAGTTGCGATTCAGATGTGTGAGGCAGGACTGGCACTTGACCCAGGCAGCACCGACTTGCAAAAGATGCTGGAGGTGAGCTGACAACAGCCATTGGGGAAAAAATGCATGTGGCTCAGTACTATTTATACTCAGTATTACTTGTGCCCAGGAGTAGCTTGTGCCACTCGTAATGGAAGTGTGTTGATGCGCCTTCACGTACCAGCCGCGCTCACAGTCCTCCACATATCAACGCTGGTTTGCGAATTTGCTTAATGATTTAACATTGGCCCATTTCCACATTTTTGCTCGATGCTTTAATCTTGTTGTATAGAAGCGGTGAAGTCTTCAGCACTTGCAGTGCTCTTAAGGGTATTATAGTGTGTGTGGATTGCGTTGAAATGCACCAAATCATGCAACATTATTGGTAATGATTGCTGGTGATTTAGGCTGCCTCTTGATTGAACAGCCCATTTAAGAATCCACTCGGGCCCCATCGTAAACGTTTGCACCCCTGCTGCTGTTGATCAGATTGTGTAGACCATCAGAATTGGAAAGCGGATTTCCAAGTGGGTTTTGGAATTCGACAGCTTTGAATGCGATGCAACATGGTGCAGTCAAACCAAAGAAGAAAATGCTATGAAGCATCGAACTGACACTTCACAGTGTTTACTAACTTCTCGAGACGTTAATGTCTCGGGCCGCATGGTGGCGCTCCTCCAAGCATGTCTAGCACCTCCAATATCGTACCCTGAATTGTACTTATTAAACATCCTTTCAGGCAGCAGTGGTGCAAGCAAGTCCTGTTGCAGTACTTAAAAGTGGTGCAAGGCTCAGTGCTCAAAGAAGACCGAACCTTATACCACTTTCCCAGAAAAGGGTTCGCTCGTTGTAATGTATTGTGATTGACATTACTTGAATGTAGTATAAGGCCTGGTGCCTAAAAATGCTGAAAACACTAATTTCCCAGGAATGGGGCTATTTTGTAATGGCCGCCTGAAATCGCCCTTTGTCTGTGCGCCCCAGGATGCAAGACGCAGGCATGGCGAGTTTCTGGCTGCTCAAGAAAAGAAGCGAAAACAGCGGGAAGACGCGGAGAAGCTGGCGGCTGCCATGATGGGCAAGGGCATCAAGTACTCCACCAATTGTTGCAAACTGGCGCGCACCAATCCGCGTTGGCTATGTATGTGTTGCACCGTGTGAATCCTATCCACCTAAATGTAATATCCTGATATTTTCTAGTTCTTTTTCCCCTTGTGTAAACACAGCCGAATCACTGTGCCCTAAGTTTTGCTCTGAAGAAGTCAGGCTCACTCCTTTTGTGCATCATTCGCACAACTGACGCAATCCTTTGTTCTTTTTTCTCCTTGTATAAACACAGCTGAATCGCTGTGCCACAGGTTTTGCTCTGAAGAACTCTGACTCACTCCTTTTGCGCATCATTTGCATAATGAACGCGATTCTAAGATGGAGTTTATGCATTTATGCACTTGTTCTCTTTTCCTGTTGAGTTGAACCAAATCACTGTGCTATGTGGTGTGTCCTGAGGAACAGATGGCTTACTCCTGTTGTGCACGATTCACACCCCATGCAATTCCTGCATTGAATTTGTGTATTTGTACAACCCATCCCCTTTCTGTTACATAGAACTAAACCGGCATGCCCCGGGTACTCCCCTGAGTAACACATGCTCCACTCCTTGTATGAATCAATCACATGCTCCACTCCTTGTGTGAATCAATCACATACTTCACTCCATTCTCATGCATAATGCTTGCATGGCGCTACATTATGCTTACGTTACTCCTACAGTTGTAAGAACAGTATAAATGCAAAGTGTAAAGCTGTGAACAAAGCATAAACATAGAGCATAAGTGTAAAATGCTCATGTTGAGAATGACATACACATAAAGCACTGATAACATGCTTACATTTTTGCACCCCCTTGCCTCTCTTGTAAGGTGGCACAAGGCCGGCACATCTTGTGACAGGACATGGGGAGGCACCTGGGCATTGAATCTATTGCAGTATTTTGGAATCAAAGAAAATGTGTTTACAAGGTGCTTACATTGTGCTTACATATGCATACGTTGTGCTTGCAATGCACTGCCGTTTCCACGAAGGCACACCTGTTCTCGACATGGACCACTGATTTGGAGACGCAAACGGGTTGGGATTGGGTCTTTGGGTGTTGAGGTTTGGGGCAAGTACATATGGGATCTCCGTCTCCAGATCAGCGGTCCGTGCTGGGAAGACCCTCAACACTGCGTGTGTGTCTGAGTGTGCGTCAAAAAGTGTTCCAACACCAGGAAACCGCAGTACACAAGAACAAGATGGACTAAACTGGCAAGTACATATGGGATCTCCGTCTCCAGATCAGCGGTCCGTGCTGGGAATCTCAACACCGCGCGCGGTGTCTCTGGAGTGCAAAAGTGGCTCGCCAAGAAGCGTTCCAGCAATCAGCGTCATCAAGAACCAGCATGGTTTCAAACTGGTGCACATGCGGATCTCCGTCTCCAGATCAGCGGTCCGTGCTGGGAACACCCTCAACACTGCGTGTGTGTCTGAGTGTGCGTCAAGAAGCGCTTCAGCACCAGGAAACCGCAGTACACAAGAACAAGATGGACTAAACCGAGTCGCAGTCCCGCAGGTTCTGCCCTGAGGAGTACAAAGTGGCGGGCGCGGCCCCCCGGCTGGACGAGTCCGGCCTGGTGCACTTGCCGCTGCTGTTCATCTACCCCGAGACCATGCAGCGTGATGTGGTGCAGGACGCCTGCGAGGCCGACACGCTGGCGGAGCACCTGGACGTGGTAAGGCCGCAGGTGCAAATAGCAGCAGAAGGCGCCGTGTTTGCGGTGCTGACTGTGATGCCATTTTGGCAATAAGTGGCCGCCACTTATTCAATAGCAGTTTTTTCGGAAAGTGTAGTACAGTTACTACGTTTTCCGCACAACAGAGTACTGTAAATACCAAGTGATGTACTATCTATGTATGTGCTATATATGTACATCACTTGGTATTTACAGTACTCTGTTGTACCGGTTTTCCCTGAAAGGATCTTGGCGCCACCACAGTGATTGCGGTGGCATAAAACAGCCGTGGTAGCATCGAGTAGTGTCAAATGGCGTCGCATTTGGCATCGCAAAAATGTTGTTCTCTACTGGTGCACAAAATGCCGAAAACAGGTCGACGTTCAACGAATTTGAAATACGTTCATTGCTCGTTTGGAGTTCGTTTGAAATTCGCTTGATAGCCGTTCAAAACTCGTTCAAGGTGTGGAGAATTTCCATATTCTGACGCGGGCTCACTGCCCATACACGATTTTTTCTTGTCGATTCAAGGGCTCTGATTCAATGCAAGGATGTTGCCGCCTGCTTCCTACCAGCATCGTTAAAGTGAGGGGACTGAATTGAGTGCCGGTTTGGCAGATGTTTGGGGAGGGCGTGGAGCCGCTGCCATGGGACGCGAAGCGTGAGTACGTCAGGAGCAACATCGAGCTGTACTACCTGGCACACGCCGGCGCCCCCCTCACGCAGGTATATGTGGTCAGTGAGTCACCGGTGTCATGAGATTGTGTGATCGTGTCTCAATTTTGAAAATTTTCAAATTTGAATGTTTTAGGAGTTTCCAAATTTTTTCTCGGCTCTGAAATCATTTCGATGCTTTTGAAACGCATGCCATCAAACCACTACAGTGCACGGATGCCTGGCAGCGTAACCTTCGCTATGGTGGCCGTTGCCAGCAGCGACAGAATTGCTGCGCACCGACGTACAGATGTGTGTGTGCGGGTGGGTGGGGGTGGGGGTGGGGTAGTAGGGGAGCGTGCGTGTGTTTGTTGCGTATTGCGTACGCATACACAGTACAGTGATGCGTACCGCCGTGGTGGCCATTTTGGCTGCAAGGTGCCATTCATCATCGCCGCTATCTTCACTTGTTCATTTATGTTGCTGTTTCATTGGCCATCTGTGGAAATAAGATTATCGATTTCTGGATTTCACTGGTGCAAGCCTTCAGATTTTCAATGAAGGAATGGTCGACACTGGTTTTATTGGGGAAAATGAGGAGCTGACGACTATTTCTTTGCCTTGATACACTTTTCAAGAGTAAGCATGATTTACCAAACTGCATTTATACAGTTTGAGTACAATTTGTGTAAATGTTCTAAGCAAGATTTCTCGAAATGAAGTCGTATTCATCGGTCTCCTAATCGCGTACCCTGATGCTCTGGGCTGGCCCGATGCGGCCTCACTACCTACACGAGTTGAACTCAATCTAAATCAGCAAATTACGAAACCTGCATTGAATTGGCACACCCATCTGTTGTGGGACCCGGGTATTTCTTGCATTTCTTGCATGCCTTGCATGTCTTGCATGTCTTGCGTGTCTTGCATGTCTTGCACGTCTTGCATTTCTTGCGTTTCTCGTATTTTTGGGATTCGACATTTCTGTCGTTTTGGCCTTTTTTTGCAATCTTTGCAACCACATCCTACTTTGTGAATTTTGGCTGCCCTCTGCCTGCCCGCAGTCCCAGCTGGCCTCCGCCCTGGAGGGCGAGTCGGCACCCGCGCGAAGCGACGCCGGCCCAAGGCGGTACGGAAAAAATGCCGCTTCGTGGGTCAAGGTCAACGAGCGGTCAACGCTGCTGGAGACGCTGGCGGCGCCAGACCACGTGGTGCCTGGGGCGCCCATGTTCTTCGTCGTGGCGGGGGGCTCCGAGTACAGGGACAGATTCTTGAAATATGGCGTGGATTCTCTGTGATGGGTATCGAATCTTGAAACACGGATTATGTTCCCTCTGATGCGCATCGTTTCTTGAAATACGGCATTGATGCCCTCTGATGTACCCTCGGACCCCGCAGGACGTGATGGACGGTTGGCATCCCGATGGGTGGATTCTTGTGGGCGGGGGGCTCCGAGTGCAGGGACAGATTCTTGAAAATACGTCGCTGATTCCCCATGATGGCTATCGATTCTTGAAATACGGAAGTGATTCTCATTGATGCGTATCGATTCTTGGAATACGACATCGATTCGCTCTGATGCGTATGAATTTAATTGAATGGAATGGAAATTTCCATTAACAGCGCGTCAGCCAACATGAGCTATGTTGCCACCCAGCCCCCAAGAACACATGTCCACTGTTGTCCCTGTGTACGCCAGTATGCGCGCACTGCCACTTGCCTCTACATTGAGGCCTCAATAGGCCTGCCTATTGATGGTGTGTTCAGACACTCCCCTGCATCTCACACGCAGCACGCCCACCCCCCTCACCAACCCCTACTGTTGCTCTGTATCCATTTTTGAATTATGGCATCCGTTCCCTCTGATGCAACGTCACCATACACGTCCAATCCAGATCACTTCAGCTCAGACCTGTGGTGTCAAACGGGGTTGGTGCCGGGCCTCGCAACCCGCCTGGCCATTGGTGGACTACGCCGCGCCACATGCAGTTCGTTCAAAGTCACCAACAGCATGCACAAAAGAAAGAACATACCAAATAAAAATATGCAGAAAAAGTGCCAAATGAATCTGTGCAAAAAAAAGTCAAGCCAATTTTAACGGTTCTGCCAGCCTCCGTGTGTGGCGAGCGTGGATGGGGCCAGCGAGAAGAAAGCCCTCAACGGAATTGGACCCCTGGGGCCATGCGCTACTGGAAGGTGCTGGGAGAGGCATCTACCCAATGGGCAAAGCCGTTAAGAGGCCTGCTGGGAGAAGGCGACAATGTGGGCAGGACAGGGTTGCCGGTGAAGCGCCGCAGCTGGGATAGGGCCAACAGGGAGCCTGCAGGGGGTCTGGCTGTGGGCCTGGGGTGTCAGCTGCATCCTGGACACGCCAAAATGAAGAGGATGATGAGGACAAGCACACAGCACTGCACTCTTGTGATCAGTGGGAATGTGGAGGTCCTTTCGGTGGGTGACAAGAGACCACCTGTAGCTTTCTTGTACTTTGTGCTACGCTGTGTCTTGTTTGTTGACGGTCCCTGGGCTGGACGCACATCGGATTGACGGCACCTTGTGCACGTCGCCATCAATTGCACAATCTCCTGGCTTGGATCCCCCCCGTGCCAACTGCGTTCCCCCAAAGGGGCCCCCTTGCAATGAGCGAGGCCATGACCCGTGCAGCAGGCATTGCACACCCTCACAATCTGCTGGTGCTCAATGTCCCAACATCGCCATCGTGGTTAAAGGGCTTGCATCGTCTCGTTCAGGCAAACATGTGATCAATGAAATCGGACACCATCACACAGTGTGAGCCACTTGTCCGTTCGGGCCCCAAGAAACCATAGCAGTACTATGCTGGGTACATGAAGTTCTCCGGCTTGGTCAAGAGGTGCATGGCGGCACCTGCATCTGAACGTGTTGCAGGCCGGCGATGTTGCAACATTTTGAAGCTCTTGCGACAGCAACCCTCTAGCTCTGAACAACCTGCCTGATCCCTTGACGCTGGAAAGTGATGTAATAATAATGAAGAAAAAAAACTGCTTGATATGATGTTGGGGCTGGGCCAGGCTCCAATGCATGCTGCAAAGCACGGATGCACACACATACGGTGGATGCCTGTCATCGACTCCCCAAGTGACAAGGGCCTTGTTTCGTCCTGTACTTTGACAAGTGTAAGCAAGAGCATTTACCCGCCTGGCAGAGAGGAGCTGGTTTGCAGACTGCCGCCGACCTTGGCTGCCCAAGCATAAACACCTGTGACAGATGCCATACACCAATGGGCACGCGAGAGCAGCGCCTCCTTGCAGCCAGTGTTCCCAACAGTGAGCTCCGCAGTGTTCCCAACAGTGAGCTCCGCGTCAGAGGCCTTCAGACATAACAGCATGGTCTGCCAGCACCGATGTCCATCAGGGCACTGGGCAGCAAGCAGCACATCGAACTCTGGCACTGGCAGTCAAAATCAGATTTACAGTCAAGGGACAGGTATCCAGGGCACCCAGGGGATGGTTCTCAACAGAAGCAACCAGCTGCGAAACCAGCTGCCGCCCTCTTCCGCTCCCTGCTCTGCACATCCACGCAGCAAGACATGGCAGGTCGCCCTCTCCCCCCAAGGGGAACCATCCCCAGTCCCACATCTTGGGCAGAAGGAAGATTCATGTACAGTCCAGCATACACATCGCCCCATGGAAACTCCTGTTTTCGACTTGACCCAGGGACACCGGAGCAGTAACACCTGCAGGCCAGTGACCAGAGGCGAGGCTGCCATTGTGCAATAGACAGCCTTCCAAACATGCACACACGCCCTGCTGCCAGTCAGCCACAAGCAAGAGGCGCAGTCCTTGGGCCGCCGAAGGCGACTGATCAAGCTCGGCATCACGAACGCCATGGCCACAGAACCGCCCCCGCAGGAGGAGGCTCTGCCCAGAGGGCCAACCGCCGCCCAGCATGAGACGCAGCAAATGCTCACTGTCCCGCAGTAAGTGCCCACAAATGCATACGAGTGCCCACAACTGCATACGAGTGCCCAAAACTGCATACGAGTGCTCACAAGTGCATACGAGTGCCCACCAGTGCCCACACGTGCCCACCATTGCCCCTCAGTGCACACACAAGTGCTCATCAGTGCCATCAAGTGCCCACGGCGACTGCCCGCTGTCCCAGACCAGTCGCTCGAGTCAGTCGCCCGAGGTCAAGCCGAAGCGCAGCGCAGGCAGGAACCGGCCGCGATGAGCATCAACCGCAGGCTGCGGCATTCACAGGCCATCCGGCGTCCAAGGCTCCGCTGCAGAGCTTCGGTCCCCAGAATCCAACCCCGTCCCGCGCACGCTGAACCAGCCCATGTCTTGCCTCCGTCGAAAAATTCCGTGGGCGCAGAGCGCGGGCATTGCCGCCCGGCCGCCGCTTCAGGGGAATGACAGCCCACCCACAGTTTTTGCCGCCGTCCCATTTTTTTCGCCGTCGAAAAATCAGAGCTGCCCGTGCGCGTCGCCCTCCCGCGCGCGCCTCCATCCCGGCCAACCGCCCAGCCGCGCTGTCCCGCGGCGCAATCTAATCGGCCGCCCTACCACGGCGCCCGACGGCGCCCATCGCTGCGACACCCCAACAACCGCCCCCTGCAACCCAAACCGCCCACAAACCAAAATCCAAGCCGTGCAAAAGATGCAAAAAAAAACGCCCGCACTCGGGTTTAGGGCCCCCGCCCTCTCCCTTCATGCCCCCTCGTGCATGGGGCTCTGCCCCATCGTCGACTCCGTCACCATCCCCACCGTCGTGAAGCCCGATGCGCTGCTGGCCGTGACCGCCGGCGATCCCACCCATTCCACACCGGGCGCCTTCACGCTCATCGCCACCAACTCCCTCAGCTCCTCCTCGCTCTGCAGCATCTCGTCCACCTGGGACCGGATGTCCCTGGCGTACTCCTGCACGAGCCGCTCATTGTACCCTACCAAATCCGCGGGGTAGTCGGTCAGAAACCAGGGATCGGCGTGGAGCTCCTGCACCGTGATGCGCTGGGCGGGGTCGGCGCAGAGCAGCCGGGACAGCAGGCGCCTGCACTGGTCGGAGATCCGGTTGATTTTCTGCAGCCCGTCCTCCACGCCCAGCTCCTGCACCTCCGGGATCTCGACGTGCAGCTGGGTGAGGCGGCGCACCTCCGCGCCCACCCACCAGTTGCGCTGCCTGGGCCGGTCCGGCGTGGCCACCATGGGGAGGTTGCCGTAGAGCAGGCGGTACAGGCAGATGCCCAGGGACCAGATGTCCGCGGCGCGCCCGTCGTAGCGGCGGCGCTCATAGTAGCTCTTGACCACCTCGGGCGCGATGTAGCCCCAGGTGCCCGCCAGCGTCTTGGGGGTGGAATCGTGCCGGCCCTTGCTGAACCCGAAATCGCAGAGCTGGACTTTAAAGTGCTGGCCCACGGGGGTGCTCTCCACCGTCATGAGCAGGTTCTCCAGCTTGATGTCGCGGTTAAAGATCCCCTTGTCGTGGCAGAAGCCCACCGCGCAGGCCAGCTGCTGGAACAGGGCCCGCCCCACGGCCTCCGGGAAGCACCCGCACTGCTGCAGCCACTGCTGCACGGTGCCGTGCGGCGCGTACATCATCACGATACATAGGTAGGTCGGGGTCAGGAAGACGCGCTTGAAGGACACCACGTGCTTGTGCACCAGCCCTCGGTGGTACAGCACCTCGCGGGTCAGGTGCTTCTGGCTGATGCCCGGACCGCGCTCAAACCCCTTCACTGCCACCACCTCCCCGGTACGGTCGTCCCGGGCGCGCAGCACGTAGCGCAGGCCGCTGCCGCCATCCCTGTAGCTCAAAAAGTCATCGCGGCCGGCCTGGTAGCCCTCCTGGGCCATCACCGCGCAGATTGCGTCCCTGTTGTCCGGGCTGTCGTCGGCCATCGCGCCGAGAGATCCGGGGGATCAGGGGCACCGCCCGTCGGTGTGGGGGGTAGGGGGAGGGCGGTGTGCGGGCAGGGAGGGGGGCCCGGCGTCGGCGTGGTGGTTGGGGGGAGTAGCGCCAGGGGGGGAAGGAATGCGGGGTGTGATTGCGGGCGGTTCAGGGGCGCCAGGAGACAACCTTCTTGCTGGGTACGGGAGGGCGTCCCAGGCGGTGACGTAATGATGTCGTGGCCCTGGGTCAGTTTTGCGCCATTTTGGCTTCGTCAACATCATCATCCGCATCTCCGTTGTGGTCGGGGGACTGTCGCCACAGGTTAGTTTTCTCTTGACGTTTCTTGGTGTCGACCCTTTGCGCTGGAGGATTTTGCGTTGGGAAACAATGTACCCCATGTGCAGTCATTACATCAGCCCGGAACAGAGACTGGGACCGAGACCGGCACAAAGGCAGAGACCGGTACGGGGTCCGGCCTTTTTTAGGGGTTCAGGGTTTTTAAAAAGTTTTAGGCTTTTTAGGAATTTTCTTCAGGGTTTAGGGTTTGGGTTTGCTTAGGGGTCTTGGGGAGTTTTGTATTTTTAGGCCTTTTTGGGCATTTTTTAAAGGTGCTTCTTTTAGGGTTTGAGTTTATTTTTTTATTATTTTTTTTGGGGTTTATTTTTGGGCTTGGATTTGTTAGTATTTGTTTAGGGTTTAGGGTTTTGATTTTCCTAGGACCTTTTAGGTTGGTTTTGGGTCCGTTTAAGTTTGTTTCAGTTTTTTTAGGTTAGGTTTTAGGTACTGGTCGGCGTACCGGTCTCGATAACCTTGTGACGTCCCAGCTGCGGGAACGCCCCGTCGTGGCTCCAGCTGGACACGGCTCGACAAAATACCACGCACCTCCACGCCCGGTCTCAGAATCTCGCCACGATTGCCCACGGCCCGCCGCCTCCGGCCCGGGTGCCGAACCCCCCTCCCTTCCGGCGACCGTCCGCCGGCAAAAACACTTCCCAGGCGCGCCGGCAGATCGACAATGCTGACCGCCGCGAAGGCGTGCGCCCCCCGCGCCCGCGCCGACGCCAATCCTCCGCGGGGGACCGGATCCCGTTACGTCACGGTTCGCGCGGGCCGGGGTGACGCGGTGGATGGGGCGAGCAGGCGGTGAGGGGTTTGCCGGCGGCGAACCGGATTGTTTAGAACCGTTAGGACCGTTCCGGGCAGCGTCGAGGGCTCCGCGGTTGGTGTTGGTGTTGGCGGGAGGCCCCTGGATTGGCCCGGGGCGGAGGCTGCTGCCTTGCCCCCCCTGTTGACGTGGCACTCGACGCCGATGACGATCGTTCGCGCGACGCGGCGGATTCCCGGGCGTTTCCCCCCCGCGCGGCTGACAGCGAGGATGCGCGTCGCGCGGCGCCCTTCGCGCAGTCGCTGCCCGAGCGGGAGGGCCGTGCCGTGGATGTCCAACATGTTGGCCCCGGGACGGGAGGGGGGAGGGGGGTGCAAGAGGGAGATTTGAGGTCTGTGGTGTGTGGTTGGGAAGGCGGCTTCTGGCGGCAGCGGCGGTTTTCGCGGCGCCGCTGGTGCTCGGGGCCGGGCGGGCGAGGGCGATGGATCTGGGGGAGGCCAAGAGGAGGTGAGGTCGGGGCGCCTGTAGTCGATCAAAAACCAGCAATTGATTGACGTGCAGTGTACAATGATTAAGAAGAATTGGTGCAGTAAATTAAACAAGGAAGAGCGAAGTGAAGACTTGATGAAGTATGTTAAAGCTAAATTAGGAAGGAATGGTGACGTAAATTACAAATTGAATGAGATAGCGATGACAGGGAGGTGGGGCGGGGCGAAGAGGATGTCGGCAAACCTGTGTTCGTCAATCGTCAAACCGTTCCAAGTACTTTCATTGCAATTGTCATGAAAAGGCAAGTCCAGCAAATCAGTCCAATGTGTGATGCGATGTATCAGTGACTCCACAGCGACGGCAATCGTGTCACAGACAGTTTTTATAGGGATTTGTTTCACACATCGAACGGATATTTTTGCGGACATATTGCGAGCAAGCCTAAGGCGAGCCGCCCTTTGTGGCCCAAAATCAGAGTGTATTACACCTGGTGTAAGCATTGGTACGAAATTGACGTTGCTCCGAACCGAACATCAAGAAAAACACCTGGAGCGCCCGCCGGTTGCGAACGACTTGAGGAAGGCACTCAAAAAAAGTTACTTCTCATTTTAAACTTGTCATTGTCGAAAGGCTAATGCTCCGAAAGAGTTCAACTCCAACAAAATGAAACTGAAGGATTCAAGTCCAAATTTGTCAAAAATGCGCCACTGCTCGTCCAGGCGGGAGGAGCGCAAGCTGGAGCTGCGCAAAGCCGCCGGCGAGGCCATGGCCACTGGCGGCGATGTCGCCTTGGCCGGCATGGACAGCGACTACAGCATGCCGGACGACCACTCCCCAAACACGCATGGCAGGAAGAGCCGCACGGTGCCTCCAAAGGAGACCACCAGCGCGTAGAGGCCGCACTGCAGAAGCCCTCACCGATTGCGTGAGATCGACGGTGTTATGTGAGCGGGACAAGTCGATTCACCACGTTCCCGTCTTGTAGTCTTTTTCTTTTCCTTTTGGTACATAGATTGTTGGAGATTTTTGTGCTGCTTCGCTTGCCGATTCGCATGCTAATGGTTAGGTCCGAGAAGCTGGTACAGACGCCTGGCAGCTCGGGTACGGGAACTGGCGAAAATGGGGAAACGCCTTGCTAACAGTACCCGGCAACATCGTGACATTAAGTACTGACTTTACGGTGCTTCCACCGGTTCTTTGCGTGTACTCCTGCGGACGCGCGTGCTTCTTCCAATTCCTGCAGTTTGCTCATCAAACTTTGATCCATTTCATTCAGATCCTGTCATGGCAGGGTAAACACTGGGGAGAATTGCATTAAAGGAACGATGGCGTTCCATTTGGAAGATTGCACGGGTAACGCATTCATTTCGGTGATATTGGTGTGGTATCCATAACTGATTCACATGCGAATTGGCGGGGCGATCTGCCAGTCGAACGCGGGGGGAACAGGGGTCGGCTGCATGCTGAGAGGGTGTCGCGCTGTGGCGATGTCGACACTGCCTGTATCGATATTGTCCACCGATGGGAACATGCTTTGGTGCCATTTTGATTGACGAAGACTCTTGAAATTGCTGGAGACAATGAGCGAGTTTGTTTGGCTCCGTGGGCTGTTGGACCATTTGGGGGGAAGGGGCTGCTGTGTGCTCGCGTGCTGGCTTGTTGGCAGCTCTGTCTGGGCTTTTCGTCGGCGTTTTGGGGGGTGACCTTTCGACTGCTGGCGTGGGCATTCGGCAGGTTGGGGATACCGTCCACGATTTTTTGGCATGTTTTTCTGTGCGCTTTCGGATCTGTACCACTACGTCTGTAATCCTTGCGTGACGCTTGCTGCAATTGTCCGACAGCGGGGCCATGGCCGCCAGAGAAGCGTGGTCTTTTCTTCATCCATTAATCCGCGTTGTGCGTTCATCCGTTGTCTGTTGTTGAGGCCGGCCCGACAGGACAGTGAACGTGGAACGCGATTCTTCGATTTCGATTCCGCATTGATCCAAAGTGACCATTGATTGATCAATTGATCAATCCATTGAGTCAATCAGCGCCTTGTAAGGGAACTCGTGACAATTTCTTCACAGCCTCGAATTCATTTGATGTGCAAGGCGGCGCTCCAGCCGTGAGGACGAGGCTCAAAACATTATCCGGCCGTTGCGGAAATTCAGCCCTCTTCAAAGTCGTAGAACATCGAGATAATATTGGTATTGATACAAGCTGAACATCTGCAACCGACGGCAACAAGCGGCCTTGCAACGGGGCAAGCAGCTCAACGCGACCATCCACATTGACGATACGAATCGATGCAAAACGTATTGGACTGCACGGTGTTCGGGTTGCCAGTTAATGGGGCTCATCAAAAAGTTAGTGCATTAATGATATCGCTCAGCTGGCGACCAGTGAGGTCTAGATATGGTGCACAGGGGATGTCGACAGCCTCAGCACCTTTGCCACACTGATCATCAAATTGCAAGCTCAAGGCACCCAGAAGGAAGGGAGATGACTTTTGACGACAAAGATAGATGATGGCAACTTTTTCATACGCCCAAGAATTCATTGAGGTACTACAAAAATGTTGGGCACAATGTCAATACGTTGTAAAGCATCACACTAAGACACATGAGGCAGACACGCCCAGAAAAACGCGTTGAAGTACCAATGAGCACCCAGGCTGCCACTGGATGCGTGCATTTGTTTAGGGGCAGCCCGCATTTGTTTTGGGGCAGCCCGCCTGGCGACCTGCCATGGATCGTGGCGAGACAGAGCCACGAGGGGGGCGTGGAGGTGCCACGTGGCTGTTTGATGAGAATGTGGCCCTTGGGGCATCACGTGGTGGCTGATTGTGGGCAGTGGGGCGTTCTGGGTTGAGTTGTGGTGAAGCGGCGGGCGTGGCAGAAAGATTCCGGGCATTGAAAGAGTGTCGGCCTCCCTTCGGGCCCCCGCCGTCGCGAGGGGGCCTCCGATGCGCGTGGTGGTTAGCCGCTCGATGCTCCACCTCCGCCGGGTCCGAATCGTCGGACTGCGCGTGCTGAGCACGATGCTCGTGGCGGTATGCTCGGGGACAGCCGAGCTCGCAGGCTCTGCCGGCCAGGTCAGCCGAGGTCGTGGGGTCGGGTTGCGGGCGCAGTTTGCTTGCGCGAGAAAGGATCATTACTACACCGTACACACCACATAAGTACGGTGGTAAGCTCGCGGGCCACCGGTGCGGAAAGAATCCGTGTCATAGCACCCACACCGGTGCCTTAGTGTACTGTCATTGTACCCATACACTTCATAACCCGGTAGTAAATTGTCCTGACCGTTCATAATCTGATAATCACTCCCCCCTTTGAGTATTTTCGTCCCGAAAATCAAATCATGAACCACCACTCGATCCACCCGTGTCCTCTATTGGTTGGTCCCTCTCAATCATCATCAGAATATCCTTAGGAGGTTTAATTTCCGTCTCTGGTACCCAAGTAGCGTCTTCAATCGGCCAGCCAAGCCACAAGATAAGAAACTCATGAGTCCTCTTATTTCCTACCCAAACATATCGCCACCGGAGCAACTTTTCTATTTTGTACTCGTCATCCGCCATTTCAATTTCCGGAACAGGAGCCTGCTCACGCTGATCCCAATCACTGTCATGCCATGCCTTGAGTAGGCTCACATGAAACACGTCATAGATACGCCAGTCATTAGGAAGCTGCAGTCGGTAGGATTGGGTACCAATCCGTTCGATGACATGGAAGGGCCCCACGAAGTGTCTCCGCAACTTTGCCGGTGTTCCACGCATCCGAAAGTTCGTAGTGGATAGCAGAACAAGCTGATCAACTGCATAGGTCTCAGGGCGGTGATGACGATCATAATATTCTTGTGTTGCTCGTTCGCCCGATGGAGATTGTTCCGCGCCTTGGTGAAAGTCCGATGCAGGCGCTGAGCGAAGCTAGTTACTGTCTCAACAGGAGAAATGTCAGTCCCTCTGATCAGCTCATTAGGAGTCACTGGGTGGTATCCATAATTCAAAAAGAAAGGCGTGTACCCCGTGCTCCTATTTGGCTGGCTATTCACACCAAATTTAACAATAGGTACCAATGAATCCCAATCACAAGGCTCTTCCAATTCATGCACAGTGCAACACAGTATTTGTTCAAAAATTGCGTTCATTCTTTCTATCAACCCTTGAGTCTGTGGGTGGTAGGCACTGCTGAATCTCAAGTCAGAACCAACCAATTTCCAAAGACTTCGCCAAAAGGCACTAGTAAATCTGCGATCACGATCAGAGTACAATGCCTTGGGCAATCCATGAAGTTTTCCCACATGTTGCCAATATAAAAATACAGTTTCAGATGCTGAAATTTCTTCCTTGCAGGGTACAAAATGCACCATCTTTGTGGCTCTGTCGACCACTGTAAGCACAGCATCGTTACCACATTGAGTCGTAGGCAGCTTTGTAATAAAGTCCAAAGTCATCTCTGTCCATTTTTGCTCAGGTACTCTCAACGGTTGTAATTCGCCACGTGGACGTTGATGCTCGGACTTCTCCAACTGGCAAACTGGGCACGATAGGACATACTCTCTGATATCACTTACCATCCCTCTCCAATACAAACCTCTCTTGGCAGTGTGCAATATCCTCAAGTAACCTGGGTGTTCAGCATAGGGAACATCATGGAGTTCTTGGAGTAGCAACTTCTTGATCTCATGGTGGTCCGGTACCACAATTTTCCAATACTGGTCTTCATCGCTGAAGTTGCTACGATGGACAACTAACGAGTGGTGCCTCACCCTATACTTCTCCTGACCTCGGCTCACCTCTAGATTAGTGAGCGGTGCTTCGTCAATTTCCTGTAAAGTCTCCGAGTATGGAGTTTCCTATTCCAGCAATTCTATTATCTTGTCTCGGAATCGACACTCAATGTCCAGAGTGGTCCTGGTGACCAAACATTGTGCCAATGGTACAGGAGTTCCGTCATTACTTTCCACTGATGAGTATATTGCCGATGAACTAATTTCCTTCTTCTCAACAAACAACTGATCCAATGCAACTTGGATGTCTTGATCTGAGGGGTTCTCACATAATTGTAAGATTTTTACCAGATTGTTGTCCTCCTCCTTTGCAGCGCTACTCAGCTTTTGATCATCCGTCCACCTCTGTTGTGTAAGGGCGTCTGCTGGGTTCTTCCGGCCTGGAATATGCCTGATATCAACATCGTAACTCTACAGAACGCCAACCCACTTCCAAATACAATGGTGGACACTGGGTTGGTTGGGTAGATGTCGCAAGGAACTGTGGTCAGTCTGAATAATAAACCTGTGTCCCTGTAGAAAATGATGCCACTGTCCCACTGCCTATACGATACCCAATAACTCCCTTTCATATGCCGAATATCAGATCTCCGCTGAATTCAATTGTTTTGATGTATACGCAATCAGTTGGAAACCCTTTCCATAATCCTGCTGCAAAATTCTATCTACGGCAAACAAACTGGCATCCGTGGTCAATACAAATATCTTGTCAAAATCCGGGAATATGAGGATTGGTGCCGTCATCAAAGCCACCTTGAATTGCGCAAAATTGCGTTCCTCATCCTCTCCCTGATACCACGGCTTCTTTTCCTTGGTCAAGTCTGTCAGAGGGTATGCAATGGTCGAAAACCCTCTAACGAATCGCTTGTAGAAATTGGCCAACCCCAAAAACTATCTAACATCCCGAACTCCTTACGGTGTAGGCCATTCCACTATTGCTTTGATTTTCTCTTGAGATGGTTGCATTCCCTGGGCAGAGATAGTGAATCCCAGATACTCCACCCTGTCTTTGAGGAACCCATATTTATGCAACCTCCCAAGCAACTTGGCCTCTCTCAATCGCTGCAAGGCAACTCGCAAGTGCTGCCAATGTTCTTCTATCGTTCTTGAGAAGATCAATA